AGAGGCCCATTATCACAGATGAAGCAATATTAACTTCATATACTCAAAATCCATTCTGCATATCACTGAAATTATAATTATTATTTAAAATATATAGTCCTAATCAAGCCATTGAAGTATTTCCTAAACATTTTAAGGGCTCATGAGTAGCTGTTTGTATATTGCAATCCTTGCTATTTCCATCTATCAGCCCTGCTTCTTCTTCCATCATGGATCACCTCTTTATCAGGTTTGCCTTAGCAGCTTCCATGGGAACCTTCTCTAACCTTCTGCAAGTCACAGCCTCGTAATATCCATGAGGTTCAGAAAGAGGCATGTATTTAGAACAGCAATAATTTTAAAGATTTGTATACTCTAATTTGTGACATCTCTCTAGGGTTTATAACCCTTGAGATTTTTGAAAGTCTCTGTGGACCATGTGTGATGATAATATGTGATTTGACTTTTGCCTAGAATGTTCCTCAAGGGAAAAGCATAGAGACTCTTTGCTCACCTCCAGGGAAAGGAGACAGGGATGTTTTTCTCTTAATTTATGAAGAAGAAGGTAGAAAGAATCATGTCATGTCAAATTTTCCTTCTGGGAATTGTAATTTTTAGTTGATTCTAAATAAACTTTACTCCTTGAGGTATAATTTAGAACTCTATGATATGTAGAAAAACCATCATCAATTGTAGCAAATACTCCTCAACTGAGATTTCTCCTCAGATCCCTGCCACAAGGACATAGAACACGTCCTTTCTTTGCCTCTGAAGTTTCTTCTCTTGGTGAAAGGAGATTCCTGAGGAGTATCCAGTGCTGACATCTTGTTTTATTGTATTTTTTATTGAGGTAATACTGTTTTACTCCAATGTTTGTGATTTAGAGGTGCCATCTCCTAATGTAAAATAGATATATTTGCATATGAGATGATTTTCAATCTAGTGAGTTGAAGTAGAGCCAGGTGGCTGCAGAAACCAACATGCCTTTGTAGAGGGAGGCACATACAGATCTCCCCTGACAAGACTGTGTATAGATAAATGGAATAAATGCCCAGATTTCACTCCTGCCCCAGCTCTGTAAACTTTTGTCCCCTGAAATATTTGTGTTATGGTGGGGGAGTGTTTCCAATATTTCGGCAGTTTTCTCATCATCTTCCAGTGTGGTTGAGGGTTGGTCATTCAAATAATTGCAGTGTATTGTTGGTGAAGGAACCCAGAAGGATGAGAAGCCTCATGTGCAAGCATTTCCTCTGGAGAAGGCTCTGAAATGGCCAAAGGAATCCAAGAACCTTATAGTGCCTACCCCAGATCATATGTTACTAGAGAAACCTTATACTAGAAAGGAAAATTCTGTTAACCGTAACAGGGAAATCTCCTTATAGAAACAGTGCAAGAGGTAAGATTGTCACATAGTTATTTCTTTTTGAAACTGTACCCTCAGTTGATGCCTCCCTTAAGCTGATATTTTGAAAATATTGAAAAGTGGCTTTGCATTTGCCTTCAAGGGTGCTGATAGGTTATTGTTTTACTTTCCAACTAAGGAATTTATCCAAAGCAATTTCCCAGAAACTTCTTCATAGCATCTCTTCAAAGCAGGTGTAAGACATTAGTTCATTTTTTGTTGCCATTTTCTCCTCAGATATAATATAGTCAAAATCCTCAAACATATTTAGTTATATCCTAAAGAAATGTCATATTTGAATTACTGTATTAGTCATCATTTTCTGAAAGAGTTATTCAATGATTAAATTCTAATTGTGAACTATTTTGCTAGTAAACTATAATTCACACCCATAAACAATAGATAGAAACTGGTGATAGAAGATATTTATGGAGCATGTGCCTGTAGAGAATCTTAAATTCATAAAAGTGGAATCATTTTAGGAGCTTGTAAGCTCAGGTGTGCTATGTTGCTATCTCTGCCATGTTATGATGGGAGATATTTGAAAATCTTGTGGACACTGAAATACCAATGTGACTCTATGCATATGTGTCTGTATATGTATGTGCATATCTGTATTTATATTTAGAATTTATTATTCACCTGGTAGCACATGCTCCTTAAGTGCCTTGTTTAATCTAGAACCCCAGTGACTGTCATAGATACATAACATCCATCACAGGACCTCTATAACCACTCAGAGGAGTCACCTTAGTTCAAAGAATGTACCTGAAAACCTATGAATGAATCTATACCTGTCATCTCTTCAAGGGATTGACTTCTTATTATTTTGGAATTTGTAGCTCTGTAAAACTTGTATTGGTCCTTTGGGTAAAAGTTATGTCTGATGCAACCTTTTGTATTTTAGAGCTGTGGTGTTAAAAGTATAGACTATTCTTTAGCGTGTAACAACTGTATATGCAATGAGGTCTCCCTGGAATGTTTGCTGTCACCCTTACATCATCCTAGGTGTTATTCACCTGGGATGAACAGAAATAACTCTGGGGCCACAAACTGAAATTGAGGAAAAAATAATAGATTTTATGCAAAGTGAAAATTGATATCTTTTGGTCTTTATTCATGTGTGAAAGTGTGTCTATGAGGAAATCCTGAATAGTGGGGTAGGAATCGCCACTTCTACAAGAATCATGTGGAAATAGGCAGTAAAAAGTACAGGCAATCACTCCATAAAGTTGTACTCAGCTCCTTTTATCTAGAGGGTAACTAACTCAAGCTTGTTAGCACACAGAGATTTAATGTGTAAAGAGGAACTACTTACATTATAATCAGTGTATACTTAACCTTTGTGAAGTCACTTTCCATTAAGTATTGTTCTTTCTTTGTATTTGACAGGAAGCAGTGGTAACAATGAACTGAAAGTGGTGCATTTTTAACCAACTTTGACTAAATAATGTTGAAACATGGCAGTCAGGGGCCTTCCCTGGTGGCGCAGTGGTTGAACGCTGGGCTGCGAGGCTGCCCGCAGCCTCTGCAATGCTGGTTCATTCCCCGGCCACCGGCGAGGGTCCCACAAAAACAAACAAACAAACAAACAACAACAACAAAAAAACATGGCAGTCAGAATAATAGAACAGAGAGGCTGAAGTGGGAAGCTCCGTAGGAAGATGAGCTTCAGGTTATACAGCCAGATTGGTAAATTGATTGGTAAATTGGAGACTCTTTCTTACTAGGTGATACATTATAGTTACATCGTGTCTGGGATTTTGCTAGTTTGCTTTTATCAAGTGAGAAACCATGATGTGATTGAGAATGATGAGGTGATGGAGGTGGTGATGGAGCAAGAGGGAATATAGAAAGACAAATAATACATAGAATTGACTGAAATATACTGTCTGGGAATTTACTTTAATAATAAAAGTTACACAAAAATACATTACATTTAATCACTTGCTTTATATGGCATACTATCAAGGTGGAAGGGAATATACTAACTCAGCAAAAAGTTTGTATGAAAATAAACAGTATGCACCACTTAAAACACAGGTCAGGGAAAATAATATAAAAAATGTACATGTGATTCTAAAGGTAACAAATAAAATGATACTAAAACAAATAAAATAATCATAAAATTTTACTTATGTATATTATGAAAATATCAGTATACAGCATAGACTGAACACTTGACAATTGTCTCCATCAGTCATAGGGAAATCATTTATACACAGTAAATTGTATGATATGTCTGTATTGGTTTTTGTTGAATTTTATGTTTTCCAAGATATTTTTGAAACCCAACATTAAAATCTCATATGAGGTATGTGCCATTTCATGCACACACTGAACAAGATCAGTGAAATGATCATGTATAAATTTAAAATGTAAAAGAATCTCTTATATGTAAATATAAGGAGTACAATAGCACATTTAAAGAAGATAATTTATAAGAAGCTGGAATATAAATGAACATGTGCCTTAAGGTAAACTAATGTATAATATTAAAACATAGGCTGATACTAATGTTAATTTGGTAACATTAATTTCCAAGTGTTAGTTTTGGTTAATATTAATTCAGTAAATTAGATTTGTCTCTCCAAAAGATGGGGTATAGATGCAGTAGGATTAAAGAATCTTAAGAATCAACTATCCCTTTAACAATCTGTACACCCAATTATATATTCTCTCTATTAAATGATGATATTTGAACAATGATAACAATCTTGATAAAATATACATAATTAAACTTCTTGTTATGTGTGATAATTGCTTTGAAAATATGATTCACCATTAAAAAAAATTAGACCATTTGATGGGGTAACTAATTCCATGGTGACTTGGGTGAATACAAGGTTGAAAGAAACACATTTTTAAGGTAGATACAGGAAAGTAATGATACTAAATAGTGTGGATAAATGATTTTGTAATGTAGATCTGTGGAGAAAAACATTAGTTGACTAATCCATATTATCCTTGAGAACCGCTGGACAAAGTTACATTATCTTAGTGTTAATGAAGGGAACTAAATTCACATTTATTTTATTGAGTACAACATGGATAATCAATGGAAAACATAAATGGGAGCTATTGTATAAAAAAAGGTTGTGAACCATTCAATATTATCATGGTTCAGGGCTAATGTGATGTGAGATTATAAAATGGGCAAAGGGTAACAAACTAATATTTTTACCATAGTGAATTGTGTTTATATTACAATTTATGTAATCATATTGAGAATTAAATAGTGAATAGAATTGTTTTTCAAAAAACAAGAGGGATAAACTGTCATTATTTCAGCAGTTATGTGGTTCAATAAATATAAGATATATGTGTATACAAACACAGATACACTTATGGGAAAAGATATGAAAAAAGAAATGTTAATAAATAATACAGTGAAATGCATTAATGCGATGTTTGTAGTTCTTAATTTTTATCTGAAAAACTAATCACATCATATTAAAATGGAAAAAACACCAAAAATCAAAGAAAAACTGGGTAATTAGTCAAATATAGATAATCCTGTATGCTTTCTGTGAGTTTATTTCAAGATAAATAATGCCACCTTTACCTCCAGCTCTGGCTTTTCTATCACGTTTCAGTCTTGGACCAACTATCATTAAGGATGGGGGACAACCAGTCAGGGGTCCCAGAACTCATCCTGGTGGGATTCCTGCTCAGTGCAGACATGGAAGTGCTTCTCTGCTGTGTCTTCTCCCTGTTGTATGTCTCCAACATGCTGGCAAATGGCATGATCTTGGGGCTCATCTGGCTGGACGTTAGGCTGCACACCCCCATGTACTTCTTCCTCTCTCATCTGGCCATCATTGACATCTCCTATGCCTCCAGCAATTTGCCCAAATTACTGGAAAACCTAGTGAAACACAAAAAAATGATCTCCTATGTTTCTTGTGCTGCACAATTGTTTTTTTATTTGGGTTTTGCCTGCACAGAGTGCCTGATTTTGGTGGTGATGTCCTATGACAGGTACGTGGCCATCTGCCATCCTCTCCACTATATGGTGATCATGACCTGGAGACTGTGCACGGTGCTGGCCATCACTTCCTGGGCTAGTGGTTTTTCTGTTGCCTTAGGAGATCTGATTCTCTTTCTGAGAGTGCCCTACTGTGGATTCCCAGAGGTGAACCACATCTTCTGTGAAATAATAGCTGTCCTCAAAGTGGCCTGTGGGGACACCTGGATCAACAAATTTTTTATCCTTTCTTGTGGTGCTTTTATCTTAGTGGGGCCCCTTTCCTTGATGCTGGTCTCCTACATGCGCATCGTCTTGACCATCCTGAAGATCAAGTCAAAGGAGGGCCGCAGAAAGGTCTTCTCCACCTGCTCCTCCCACCTCTGTGTGGTTGGGTTCTACTTTGGCATTGCCATGATTATTTACATGGTCCCCGATGATGGTCACTGGGATGAGCAGAAAAAAGTTCTCACCCTGTTTTATATCTTCTTCAACCCATTGTTGAACCCCCTCATCTACAGTCTGAGGAATGCTCAAATGAAGGCTGCATTCAACAGAGCAGTGCAGAAGCAGAGGACATCATGAAGGAAGGTGGAATTGTATGCAGTTGGTAGTGCTCACATATGGACTTGCTGGTATAATGCAACTCAAGATGAAAGAGAAAGAAAAGTCTCTTCAGTGGTGTTGGGGAATATAGACAGTTTCATTTCCAGCAGATTGCACCTAGACCACTATCTCATACCATAAGGAAACTCAAATGGGTTAAAAACTTTGAAGGAAGATCTGAAGCCATAAAATATATAAAAGAAAACATACATAGGCAAACGTACATAGGCATTGACTTCAAGGATGTCTTTGGGGACACAACACCAAGGGCAAAAGAAATAAAAATAATTTTAACTAGGAGCAAAATTTCTGGATCATGTGGTAGATCTATTTTTAGTATCTTGTGAAACCTACATACTCTCTTCCATAGGTGCTCGACCGATCTACATTCCCACCAACAGTGTACAAAGATCCCATTTTCTCAACAGTCCTGCCAACATTTGTTGTTTCTGTGTTTTTGAATATATGCCATTCACACAGGTATAATTGGCTTATCATTGTCCTTTTGATTGTATTCCCCTTGCGCTGAGTGATGTTGAGCATTTTCTAAGATGGCTTTTGTCACTTGTGTCTTCTGTGGAAAATTGTCTTTTCATCTTTTTTCCCATCCCATGCCGAGGTACTTCGTGGACACAAAATCATTGTTTCAAAGGGATATATGCCCTCCCCTGCTCATTATAGCCCTCCTTATTCAAGCCGTGCTATGGAAAGAATTTAAATGCCCATTGACTGAGCAGTTTTAAAGAAAATGTGTATAGATGTGCATTGGGTACCACTCAGATATCAAAGCAGATGACCACTTGCCACTTGTGACAAGAGGATGAAATTGGGTAATGCTGAGCAAGATAAGTCAGAAGGGAAAGGAAAATACTAGATGATGTCACTCATCTGTAGAATATGGAGGGAAAATAGAGGGAGTAACAAAAATAAGCCAAAACAGACGCTAGGAATCTGAGCATAGAATTGAGGCCATCAGAGGGAGATAGTGGAGGATGCAAAAGGGGGAGAGGCAGTAAATTATGATGGAGGATTGTGGGTGCTTTAATGGTACACATGGTGCAGTAACATGAAGAGGTATGAACCTGAACCTCCAAGTCATGGCAGTGTTATCAACCAAAGTTGCTTCAGTAAAAAGTAATAGGATTTTTAAAAATGTCAACATGCTGGCAGTAAAAAGGAAAACAATCCATGTGAAATGTTGGATGTGTCACTCTTTGGCCATCATTTCACAGTGTAAACAGGTATCAAATCATTTCATTGTGCACCTCAAATATATAAACATTGTTACGTGTCCATAATACCTAAATAAAGCTGAAAGAGAGGAAATTAAAATGGCACTTGAAAACATTTACTGATCTATTTGAAGGAAGTATCTCATATGGATAATATATTTTTATGGTGTTTAAAATAGCTGTAGTCTCTAGGACAAAAAGTGAAAAACTAGTCCTGTTTTATATTTTTGTAAAAAATCAGGAAACTGTATCTTGGACAATAGGTTTTTGCTTTTACATTTGCATCCAATCTGTTACTATATCCCACAGCTGTAGACTTAGTCATTTCAGACTCATATAATGGCAGGATAAATGTGATTAAAAATTAGTATTTTAGATTTAAAGAAAATTTTTGACCTCCCAGTCACCTTAGAAAGTTCTCAAGAGGTCTGTTATCACAGATGAAGCAATATTAACTTCATATACTCAAAATCCTTTCTGAATATCACTGAAATTATAATGATTATTTAAAAATATATAGTTCATATCAAGCAATGAAGAATTTTATAAAACAATTTAAGGCTCATAAGTAGCTGTTTATGGATATTTCAGTCCTTGCTATTTGTGTCTATCAGCCCTGCTTCGGTGATGGATCACCTTGGATGAGAGACTCTTTATCAGGTTTGCCATAGCAGCTTCCATGGAAAACTTCTCTAACCTTCTACAAATCACAGCCTCATAGTATCTATGGGATTCATAAAGCAGCATGAATTTAGAACAGAAATAATTTTAAAGTTTTGTACACTCTAATTTGTGACAACTCTCTAGGGTTCATAACCCTTGAGATATTTGAAAGTCTGTGTGGCCGCAGTATAATGTCAATATGTGATTTGACTTTTGCCTAGAATATTCCTCAAGGGAAACACATAGAGAATCTTTACTCAGAGGAGACAGGGATATTTTCTCCCACTTCACGATGAAGAAGGTAGAAAGATACCCTGTCAAATTTTCCTTCTGGGAATTGTTTTCAGTTGATTCTAAATAAATCTTTACTCCTAGAGGTATAATTTAGAACTCCATGATATGTAGAAAAAATATCATCAATTGTAGCAAATGCTCCTCAACTGATATTTCTCCTCAGATCCCTACCACTGGGTCTTAGAACACATCCTTTGCCTCTGAAGGGTCTTCTCTTGGTGAAAGGAGATTCCTGAGGAGTATCAAGCGCTCACATCTTGTTTTATTGTATTTTTCAATTAAGGTAATGTTGTGTTCCTCCACTGTATGTGATTCAGAAGTGCCATCTCCTAATGTTAAATAAATTTATTTGCTCCTGAGATGATTTTCAATCTAGGGAGTTGAAGTGGAGCCGGTTGGTTGCAGAAACCAACATGCCTTGCTGAGGGAATCACATTCCTGGTGACACATGCTGATCTCTTTTGAGAGAGTAGGTGCAAGTCTATGTAGAGATTCCTAGATATCACCTTTACCCGATCTCTATAAACTTCTGTCCCCTGACGTGTGTCTGTATTGGTGGGGGGCACTTTTCTGATATTTTGGCAGTTTTCTTGTCATCACCTCCTAGTGTGGTTGAGAATTGGTCATTCATATTATCCCAATGTATTGTTTACAAAGGAATCTAGAAGGATGAGAAACCTCATAGGAAAACATTTTCTCTGGATATGGCTCTGAAGTGGCCAAAGGAATCAAAGAACCTTATAGTGCCTCATCCAGATGAGATATCAGTAGAGTAACCTCAGTTATTAGGAAAATTAGTCACTAACAGGGAAGTCTTCTCCTTGCGGAAGCAGTGTAGAGGTAAGTTTGTCTCATAGTTATTCTTTTTTTTTTTTTAAGATTTATTTATTTATTTATATAAGCACTGGGTACAGTCAGAAGTGCGGGAGGGTGAGAGAATTCACCAGAGCCGGAGCAGGGAACAGAACAGGCAGACTGACCAAATACGCTGCTGAGGGTAGCAGCGGGCATGGCAGGAGAGGTCTGTGCACCAGGTGGGACCCTCGCTGGCAGCCAGGGATTGAACAAGTGCTGCAGATGCTGCGGGCAGCTTCGCAGCCCAGCGCTCAACCGCTGGGCCACCAGGGGAGGCCCACTCTCATAGTTATTCTTATTGACACTTCCCTAGTCTATACCAGATCTTAATTATTAGATGTAGAAATTACTGATGTTTATAAAATTGTCCTGCAACCATACAGGATAGAGCGAGTGCTGATACTGCTGCTTAGAGCTGGACACTCCCTGCTGCAGTTCCCTCCCCGCAGGGAAGAATGGCACTCAGTGACCTGCAAATCTCCCTTTCTGAGCTGCTATTATTGTAGGGATTCTGTTGGGAGGGGATGTCTTTTTTAGTGAATTGTCTTCACTATTTCTAAACTGCATTATTAAAAGATGACAGTTTATTCAGACATTTTAAACTAATCTTAAAAAACGTAAATATTCCCTTTTGCTTTATAATGTAGTTTCTGTAGTTGTAGAAAAACTTAATGTTACAAATTTAACGCATGTTTATATAAAAATGTGATCATATTTATTTAAGCTAGGACTGTCTCCCATTTTTTCTCACATTTTTCTATGGCGCCGCTGTCCTCTCACTTAATGCCTCCCTTAAGCTAATATTTTGAAAACATTCAAAAGTGTCTTGGCATGTGCCCTCAAGGGTGCTGATAAGTTATTGTTTTACTTTTCAACTAAGAAATTTATCACCAAAGCAATTTCCCTGCAACTCTCTCATAACATCTCTTCAAAGCCAGCGTAAGGCATTAGTTCATTTTTTGTTGCCATTTTCTCCTCAGATATAATATGGCACAAATCCTCAACCATATTTTAGCAATATCCCAAAGAAATGCCATATTTAAATTACTGTATTACTCAGCTTTTTTTTTTAAAGCAGCATTTAATTATTAAATTCTATTGTGAACTATTTTCCTAATAAATTATAATTCACACCTTGGAAAAACATAGAAACTAATGATAGAATATATTTATGGGGCATGAGCCTGGAGAGAAACTCCAGTTCATAAAAGTGAAATAGGTTTAGGAGCGTGTGAGTTCAGCGTGTGCTGTGTTGCTATCTCTGCTGGGTTATGATGGGAGATATTTGACAATCTTGTGGACACTGTATATATGTGTATATCTCTATTTATATTTAGAATATATTATCATGCATTAGCACATGTACCTCGAGTGCCTGGTTTCACCTAGAACCTCAGTGACTGTCGTAGAGAGAAAGCATCCATCAGAGACCTCTATAACCATTCAAAGGAGTCATCTCAGTTCAAAGAATGGATCTTTGTGTTTTATTTTACCCTGGGGATTACATGGATCTTTATAGTGAGCTTGTAAGTCCTTTGACTCTATTTGTTGTCCATCTTATTCATTTAATTCCTGCCTGACAGGCCTCCTCATGTTTATCTATTCTAGGGAGAGTAGAAAATGACCCTCTTGGTGACAGGAAGCTGGGAGAGCATGGAGCTGGTTATGAGTGATTATGTGAGGATGTCCTGGTGTGTATTACCCCCAGGCTCATCATGTCATAATCATTTAATATATGACAAGTTTTTATATGTCAGTTTTCCTAATATTAAAGAGAAATATTAACCATTTTAAAAGTTAAAATGTTAAAGGAAAATATTAAAAATAGTAAAGTCTTAATGGTATTTAGAGAGGAAGAAGCAGGCTGTCATCTTCTTTTCTGTGGTGCCTGTGGACATACAGGGACAACCCAGTGAGGAGCCTTCAGTGTCCTGCCCACTGAGCACCCCCTTCGGGCTCACACAGTGAGACCAGTGACTCTGCACAGTGTGACCACACTCATATTTTGAAGGACTCTCATGCATTTTCAAGCCAGAGGAATTACATTTACTGAATCTGATACTTTCACAGGGATATACAATAATTTCCAGAATATTTATTTTCAAATTACTTTTTTTTTTAAAGATTTATTTTTTATATAAGAACCAGAGTACAGGCCAGATGCACGGGAGGGTGAGAGGATTCACCAGAGACAGTGTGGGGAGCAGAACAGGCAGACTGACGAAATACACTGCTGAGGGGAGCAGCGGGGAGACAGGAGAGGTCTGCTGTGCCATGTGGGACCCTTGCTGGCTGGCTGGCCGGGATCTAACCGGTGCTACAGAGGCTATAGACAGCTTCACAGCGCTGCACTCAGCCACCTGTGCCACCAAGGGAGGCCCTATTTTCAAATTACTTTTATAAGCAGAAAAGAATCTCAAGACCTATGAATTAATCTATATTTGTCATCACTTTAAGGGACTGACCTCCTATTATCTTAGAATTTATAGCTCTGTAAATCTTGTATTGGCCTTGTGGGTAAAAGTCATGTCAGATACAACATTGTATCTTAGAGCTGTGGTGTTGAATGTATATAATGCTCAGTAGTAGTAACAACTGTATGTGCAAAGTCATCCCCCAGGAATTTTTGGTGTAGTCCTTACCTCATCCTAGGTGTTATTCACCTGGGAAACAGAAATAATTCTGGGTCCACAAACTGAAATTGTAGAAAAAAACAATAGATTTGATGCAAAGTGAGTATTTGTATCTTTTGGTCTTCATTCACGTGTGAAAGTGTGTCTATGAGGAAATCCTGAGTGGGGTAGGGATTATCATTTGTACAGAAATCTTGTGAAATGGACAGTAAGAAATAAAGGTTATCACTCTGTAAAGTTGTACTCAGCTCCTTTAATCTAGAGGGTAGCTAACTCAAGCTTGTAAGCACACTGGAATTTAATGTATAAATGACAAATACATTATAATCAGTTTGTGCTTAAGCTCTGTAAAGTCACTTTCCATTAAGTATTCTATTCTTTCTTGATATTTAATATGAAGCAGTGGCAACAATGAACTGAAAATGGTACATTTTATACCAATTTTGACTATATAGTGTAAAAACATGACAGTCAGAATAATAGAACTGAGAGCTAAAGTGGGAAGCTCCATAGGAAGATGAGCTTGAGGTTATAGGGCCTTGATTGGTAAATTGGGGACTCTTCCCCACTAGGTGATTCATTATAGTTACATCGTGTCTGGGATTTTGATTGTTTGCTTTTATCAGTGAGAAAAGATGATGTGGTTGAGAATGATGATGGTGATACAGGTGATGATGCAGAAGGAGGGGAGTTAGAAAGACAAATAATACAGAGAGTTGACTGAGACATACCGTCTGGGAATTTAATACCAAAAGTTATACGAACATAAATTCATTAAATTTAGTCACTTTTGCTTTATATGGCATTCAACCAAGGTGGAAGGTAATGTACTAACTCAACAAAAAGTTAGTAAACAAATGAACCATATGCACCAATTGAAACATATGTCAGGAAAAATAATTAATACGAAAAATGTACATATGATTCTAAATGTAATAAATAGAATTTTATTATTATATGTATGAAAATATCAGTACAACATAGAATGAACTCTATATGTACAATTATTGACAATTCTCACCATCAGTCATAGGGAAGTCATTTATATACAGTATATTTGTATGATATAATATTATCTATATAGGTTTTTGTTGAATTTTATGTTTTCCAAGATATTTTTGAAAACTCAATGTCAAAATCTCATATGAGGTATGTGCCACTTTATCCACAATGAACAAGATTAGTAAAATCATAATGTGTAAATTTAGAATGTAATCTCTATACATAAATATAAAGAGAACAATATGATATTTAAAGAAGATAATTCATAAGAATCTGGGCATTTACTATAAAATAACCTACCTATGATATCAAAGACATAAGTTGATACTAATGTTAAATTGGTAACATTAGTTTCCAAATGTTAATTTTGGTAAATGTTAATTTATGAAATTAGATTTGTCTCTCCAAAAGATACTATAATACTGCAATAGGATTAAAGAATCTTAAGAATAGACTATCCCTTTAAAAATCTGTACACCAAATTATATATTCTCCCTATTAAATGATGATATTTGAGTAATGATTAACAATCTTGATAAAAATATATGTGATTAAACTTCTTGTTAAGTGTGATAATTGAAAATTAGAAAATAATCTTTGTTGTATCCAATAAAATAAATATGACTTTATTTGACTTCATTAACATAAAGACAATATTACATTGTCCACTGTTCTCAAAGTAAATATGGATTAGTCTACCAATGTTTTTCCCCACAGATCTACATTACAAAATCATTTATCCACACTATTTAGTATCAATATTTTCCCTCTTCTACTTTAAAAATTTGTTCACTGCCAACTTTGTAACAACCCAATTCAGCATGGAATCAGTTACCCAAAAGGTCTAATTCTTTTTAATGGTGAATCTTATTGTATGAAACAAAGACTGTACCATTCAAAATTATCATAGATCAGGGCTAATTATCTGAGATTAGAAAACAAATAAAATGTGACAGGAGGTTATAACTTGGAGCAAAGGGTAACAAAGTGATATGAATCATGTTTATATTACAATTTGGGTAATTGTACTGAGAATAGACTAGTGAGTAGAATTGTTCTAGAAAAACAAAAGAGGGATAAATTGAAATTATTTCAGCACTTACATGATTCAGTAAGATTTAAGATATATGAGTATACAAACACAAACATAATGATGGGAAAAGATATGAAAAAAGAAAGTAATAAAGTGAAATACATTACTGCAATTGCTTATAGTTCTTATAGTTCTTCTTATCGTTCTTCTTATCTGTAAGACTAATCACATCATAATAAAATGGAAAAAACAAAGGAACACTGGGAAAATAAGTAAAGACATTTTGAGCATTTTTCAAGATAAATAACTGTACATTGACCTAAAGCTCTGGCTTTTCTGTCACATCTCAGACTGGAACCAACCATATTGAGGATGGGGGACAACCAGTCATGGTTCCCAGAACTCATCTTGGTGGGATTCCAGCTCAGTGCAGATATGGAAGTGGTTCTCTTCTGTGTCTTCTCCCTGCTGTATGTCTCTAACCTGCTGGCAAATGGCATGATCTTGGGGCTCATCTGGCTGGACGTCAGACTGCACACCCCCATGTACTTCTTCCTCTCTCATCTGGCTGTCATTGACATATGCTATGCCTCCAGCAATTTGCCCAAATTAATGGAAAACCTAGTGAAACACAAAAAAACAATCTCCTATGCTTCATGTGCTGCACAGTTGTTTTTGTATTTGGCTTTTGTTTGTACAGAGGCCATGATTTTGGTGGTGATGTCCTATGACAGGTACGTGGCCATCTGCCATCCTCTCCACTATATGGTGATCATGACCTGGAGACTATGCAAGGTGCTAGCCATCACCTCCTGGGCTTGTGGTTTTTCTCTTGCCTTAGGAGATCTGATTGTCTTTCTGAGATTGCCCTACTGTGGGTCCCAGGAGGTGAATTTCATCTTCTGCGAAGTCCAAGCTGTCATCAAAATGGCCTGTGGGGACAGTTGGTTCAACAAACTTTATATCCTTTCTTCTGCTGCATTCATCATAACAGGGCCCTTTTTCTTGATGCTGGTCTCCTACATGCGCATCGTCTTGGCCATCCTGAAGATCAAGTCAAATGAGGGCCGCAAAAAGGCTTTCTCCACCTGCTCCTCCCACCTCTGTGTGGTTGGGTTCTACTTTGGCATTGCCATGATAATGTACTTGGTCCCAGACAATGGGACCAAGAATGAGCAGAAGAAAATCCTTTCCCTATTTTATGACCTCTTCAACCCATTGCTGAACCCCCTGATCTACAGCCTGAGGAATGCTCAAGTGAAGGCTGCCTTCTACAGAGTAGTGCAGAAACAGAGGATATCATGAAGAAGGGTGGAATTTTATGCAGTTGGTGGTGTCCACATATGATTTGCTGCTATAATGAAACTTAAGATCAAAGAGCATACAATGGAGAAAGAAATTCTCGTCTCCAATGGTGTTGGGGACTGGAACAGTTTCATTTCCAACAAAATGAACCATGACCACTATCTCAAACAAAAATTCAAAATTGATTGAAGACTTTGAAAGAAGTCCTGAAGCCATAAAATACATAGAAGAAAACATTCACAGATAAACATTCCATGACATTGGCTTCAAGAATGTCTTTGGGGACTCAGTACCAATACCAAGAAAATAAAATTAATTTCACTAAGACTGGAATTACCAGAACATATGGTAGATCTATTTTTATTTATTTTGGGAACCTCTGTACTGTTTTCTGGTACAGAGGTTTTGGACCTGGACCATCTATTTTCCTAACAACAGTGTACAAAGATTCCATTTTCTCCATAGTCTTGCCAACATTTATTGTTTCAGATTTTTTTTAATATAGGCCATTCTCACAGTGTAAGGGGGCTTATCATTGTCCTTTTGATTGTATTTCCCTTGTGATGAGTGATGTTGAGCTTTAAGATGGCTGTTTGTCACCCATAGATCTTCCTGGAAAATTGTCTGTCTTGCTCTTTGCCCATCCCATGGCTAGGTACCTCACTGAAGGACACAAAATCAGTGATTCAAAGAAATATATGCTGCCCCTGCTCATTATAGCCCTCTTTATTCTAGCCATGCTATGGAACAACCTAAATTCCCACTGACCGTGCATCTTTCACTATCATTTTCAGCTATCAAAGGAGATGACCACTTGTCACTTGTGACAAGAGGATGGAATTGGGGTGATGCTGAGTAAGATAAGTCAGAAGGGAAAGGAAAATACTAGATGATTTCATTCAGATGTAGAATATGAAAGAAAAATTAGAGGGAGTAACAAAAATAAGTCAAAACAGACCCTAGGAATCTGAGCGTAGAATTGAGGCCACCAGAGGGAGATAGTGGAGGATGCAAAAAGGGGGGAGGCAGTGGGATTATGATGGAGGATTGTGGGTGCTTTGATCGTGCACATGAAGAGGTATGAACTTGAACCTCCAAGTCATGGCAGTGTCATCAACCAAAGTTGCCTCGACAAAAAGTAATAGGATTTTTTAAAATGTCAGCATGCTGGCAGTAAAGAGGGAAATAAAGTATGTGAAATGCTGGATGTGTCACTCTGCGGCCATCGTTTCACAGTGTAAACAGGCATCAAGTCATTACATTGTGCACCTCAAGTATGTAAACATATTAAGTATCAATAACCTAAGTAAAGCTGAGAGAAAATTAAAATGGCACCTGAAAACACTTACTGATCCATTGAAAACAAATATCCCATCTTGATAATATATGTATTAGGGTATTTAAATTAGCTGTCATCTCTAAGGAAAAAAAAAGTGAAAAATTAGTCCTCTTTTAAAATCATGAATGTGTATCTTGAAAAATAGGTTTTTGCTTTTACATCTGCAACCAATCTGTTAAAATATCCCATAGCTGCAGACTTAGGGAATCCCCACTCATCCTAAAGGCAGGATAAATGTGATTAAAAATTAGTATTTTAGATTTAAAGAAAGTTATTGACCTCCCAGTCACTTTCAAATTTATCAAGAGGTCCATTAACACAGGGGAAGCAATATTAAGTGCATATACTCAAAATCCATTCTGGATATCACTGAAATTATGATTATTTAAGAACATATAGTCCATATCAAGCAATGAAGACTTTTATACATTTTGAATGTTTATAAGTAGCTATTTATGGATAATTCGGTCCTTGCTATTTGTGTCTATCAGCCCTGCTTCCATGATGGATCACCTTGGCTGAGGGACTCATTCTTTATCAGGTTTGCCATAGCAGCTTCCATGGAAATTTCCTCTAGTGTTTTAGCAGTCAGAGCCTCAATATATCTATGGGATTCATAAAGCAGCATGAATTTAGAACAGAAATAATTTTAAAGATTTGTATACTCCAATTTGTGACATCTCTCTAGGGTGCATAACCCTTGAGACCATGAAAGTCTGTGTGGACACAGTGTGATGTCAATATGTGATTTGACTTTTGTCTAGAATATTCCCCAGGGAAAAGCCCAGAGCATCTTTCCTCTCTTCCACAGAGAGGAGACAGGGATGAATTCTCCCAGTTTAGGGAGTAGAAGGTAGAAAGAATCATGTCAAATTTTCCTTTGGGGAATTGTGTATTTTTGTTGATTCTAATAAATCTTTACTCCTAGTGGTATAATTTAGAATTCCGTGATATGTAGAAAAAACATCATCAATTGTAGCAAATGCTCTTCAACTGAGATATCTCCTCAGATCCCTTGTCACAGGGTCATAGAACATGTCCTTTGCCTCTGAAGGGTCTTCTCTTGGTAAAAGGAGATTCCTGAGGAGTATCCAGTGCTGATATCTTGTTTGATTGTACTTTTTTTTATTGAGGTAATGCTGTTTTACTCCATTGTATGTGATTTAGAGGTGCCATCTCCTAATGTAAAATGGATATATTTGCACATGAGATAATTTTTAATTTAGGGAGTTGAAATTGAAGTAGACCAGAGTGACTGCAGAAACGAACATGCCTTTTTGATGGAAATCTCCATCCTGGTGAAACACACTGACTCAACTGCATGTATAGATGAATGGAATAAATGCCCAGATTTCATCCTAACCCAGCTCTGGAAACTTCTGTCCCCTGAAGTGTGTGTGTGGGGGGGGGGGGGTGTGGTCATGGTGGTGGTGGAGGGGGTAGTGTTTCCGATATTTCAGCAGTTTTCTCATCATCATCTCCCAGTGTGGTGAGGGTTGGTCATTCCAATGATTCCAGCGTATTGTTGGCAAAGGAACCCAGAAGGATGAGAAGCCTCATGTGCAAGCATTTCCTCTGGAGAAGGCTCTGAAATGGCCAAAGGAATCCAAGAACCTTACAGTGCCTACCCCAGATCAGATGTTGCTAGAGAAACCTCATACTAGGACGAAAATTCTGTCAAGTCTAACAGGGAGGTCTCCTTGTAGAAACAGTGTGAGAGGTAAGATGGTCACATATTATTTCTTTTTGGAACTTTGTAGGCTACCACCAGTTCTTAATAATGCTGAGTTCTTCTGAACATTATTATTGTAAGGATTCTGTTGGGAAGGGGAAGCTTGATTTAGGCTATCTTGACATTGTCTTCACAATTTCTGTGCCGCATTACTTATGAGTGTTAATCTACCATTATGATTGTTTTTGAAACATTTAGGTAAAATGAATATAATAGTAATGGGAAAGATTATAGTTTGTGTAGATGTTAATCTAAAAATATGTAAATATTTCCTTTTGCTTTGTAATGTAGATTCTAGAGTTGTAGAAAAACTTCATTATTAACTTAATGCACATTTATATAAATGCAATCATATTTATATAACCGAGGAATGGCTCTCCATTTTTTTCTGACATGATTGCTATGGGCTGCTGTACTCTCAGTTCATGCCTCCCTTAAGCTACTATTTTGACAATATTGAAAAATGTATTGCATTTACTTTCAAGGATCCTGATAGGTTATTGTTTACTTTCCAACTAACAAATTTATCACCAAAGCAATGCCGCTGAAACTCCAATTTTCAGCATCACTTCAAAGCAGGCGTAAGACGTTTGTTCAATTTTTGTTGCCAATTTCTCCTCAGATACAACATGGCCAATATCTTCAAACATATTTAGCAATATCCCAAATAAATACCATATTTAAATTACTGTATTAGTCAGATTTTCTGAAAGAAAGAGGTATTCAGTGATTAAATTCTAATTATGAACTATTTTACTACTAAATTAAAATTCACACCTTAGACAATAGATAGAAACTAGTGATCGAAGATATTTATGAAGTGTGAGCCTGTCTAGAAGCTTAAATTCATAAAAGTGCAGTAATTTTAGGAGCCTGTAAGTTCAGGTGTGCTATGTTGCTATCTCTGCCAGGTTGTGACAGGAGATATTGAAATCTTGTGGACACTGTGAAATGCCAATGTGTCGTCTATCCATATCTGTCTGTATATATGTGTGTATATCTCTATTTATATTTAGAATTATTTATTCATGCATTATCACACACTCCTTGAGTGCCTTCGTTCACCTAGAATTTCAGTGACTGCCGTAGAGACATAGCATCCATCACTGTACCTGTATAACAACTCGAAGGAGTCATCTTAGCTCAAAGAATATGTCTTTCATGTCAAACACTCCTCATGTTTTATTTTACCCTGGGGATTACATAGGATTTTTATAGTGAGCTTGCGGTCCCTTCACTGTTTATGTTGTCAGTTCTTATTCATTTAATTCATGCCTGACGGCCTCCTCATGTTTATCTCTGCTAGGGAGAGTAGAAAATGGCTCTCTTGGTGAGAGGAAGCTGGGAGAGGATAGAGATGGTTATGAGAGATTATGTGAGGATGTCCTGGTGCATATTACCCCCAGGCTTATCAGGATTTATTAAAATCAGGATTTTCTCTGAAAATATCAACAGAATAAATGACATACAGACCTGAATTTTCTCTATTTTTGTGGTGTTTAATATACGATTAAATATACGGCAGCTTTTTCTATGTCAGTTTTCGAAATATGAAAGGGAAACATTAAATATCATTAAAAGTTTAAATGTTAAATGAAAATATAAAATATATTAAAGTCTTTTAATGCTGATAATAAAAGAAGAAGCAGGCTGTCACCTTCCTGTCTGTCGTGTCTGTGGACATACAGGGACACCCCAGGGTGGTGCCCTCAGTGTCCTGCCCACTAACCCCTCTTCAGGCTCACACAGTTAGACCAGTGGCTGCACAGTGTGATCACACTTGTATTTTGAAGGCCCCTTATGAATTTTCAAGCCAGATGAATTACATTTACTGACTCTGATATTTTCACAGGGTTTACAATAATTTCCAGAATATTGATTTGCAAATTACTTTTATAAGTATAAAAGAATCTCAAGACCTATGAATTA